ACCAAGGCTCAACTGACAAGCCATGAGATATGAAGTGCTTGCAAGACGCATCCGGTGTTGAGATAATTAAAATCAAAATTAAACTCGAGCTCTACTTGCATCTGTGAAGCATCAGTTAATCAAACATAATGAGTTAATCAGACTCATTTTTTGGAGGGCAGAACGTAATCATGCATCATCTTTTGTCTTGTCCTTGGACTCCGACAGACACTAACTCTTCTAAGTATTTGCACACCCGACAGCACGTCAGGGTCCTGGACATTTTCTAGGCACTGCTGCAACTTTAATAGGAAAGAGTCCTAATAAAGCCACTTTATAGGAGCTTTTACTCTATATTAAGAAGTCAAACAGTAATAACAAATTAACGGGGACTCCAAGCATGACCCGAGAAGGAGATAATACCCTGCATCCCATATTTTTGCAATCCAGAGACAAGCCACTCAACTATTTAGCAAGACTGCTGCCAGTAAACCAGTGTCTCCCAGATTCCTAACAGAAAAGAAAAAAAAGAAAAAAAAAAAAAAAAAAGAGCAAAGAATACATTTTCTGGTGACCTCTGCAGATTTAGCAATCCTGTGCTTTTTTGGGTTCTGTTTTAATTTTTTTCATTTATTTATGTTTTAAACTGCTGCTGGATGTAACTTCTAGGTATTGTAATTAATTTATTTTTAATCCAGTGGAGAAATAATTCATACTGTCTTGGTTTCTAGCTATTCAAGATATTGCGGTTACATTTTTTGGTGTCTTTGGTACATTTTACTGCAACATTCTCAGGGCGCTGCAGTCAATTACTAAATCTCATGCTGTTTTACTTGCTCCAAAGCATCATCCAAGCATTTTCTAGCAAGTTCTTGTGGGCTGCTATGTCCTGTTTGAGAAACACATGCGTGTCCACACGCTGATAGGTACGAGATCAGCGTCACTGCAGACGTTTTGATTAATGCCTTCTCAGTTTGGTTTCTGTGGGCTCGAGGCTCCTGGCTCAAGCTGAGATAGAGTAGAAAAAATAAAAATCTACATTTTAAAAATTAAACCAAGTGCATTTGAAAAACAAAGGCTTAGCTGGTATCTATCACGCCTCCGCAGTGTTGTAACCTGCCTCAGCTTGGTCTCTCTCTCTCGGGCACCCCACGGCCGTCCTGCTTCTCCCCTTCGCTGCTGCTGCTCCCGCTGTGCGCGTGGGGGAAGTGGGAGGGATGGTCCCAGCGGGAAGCAAAAACCCAGCCAGCTGCTCGGTGGCAAGGGGAACGAGGGAGAAGACTTGCTGGGGATAAAGAGCCGAAAGAACGGCTTTTGGGAAGGGCAGAAGGGCAGAGAGCCTGCAGATGGGAGAGGGAAAGTGGCTGGAAGGAAAGCCTGGTAGTGCTCTGCCCACCAAATCGCCAAAGGCTGCTGAGCATGAGGGAGTGCAAACCCCAGCACTGATGCAGGTCACGGAGAAAAGGGTGGATTACAACCCAGAGGCAAGAAATCAAGAAGGTGGTGAAGGGAATCAAAGGAGCATCACGCAGAAACCTATGGACGGCAGGGACTGTCGGTCCCAGCTGTGACACGCGGGGATTTCTCTTCCACATTGCATCCCGAGGACGCAGGAGAGCTTGCCCCAGCGCAGCAGAAGCTGTGCCTAACATGCAGTAAATTAACACACCATTGTCACTGATCCGGCCTTGTTATTTATGGCTCTATTTGCAGCCTTTTATTTAATTAGAGAGATGATATATCCATAATGATTTTTCTAGAGGGGCTAACTACTGCAACATTAGCTATTCCTGGAAGCCGCCCCTCTAAATCAAGCTTTGAAGGGAAATTGGTGGCAGGCAGTACGCGGTGCTGACCCCCCTGAAAAGTAACAGTCCAACACGCACTGTACGATCCTATTTCCGAGCATGTTTTTCCCCTGTGCAAAGGCTGTAGACACTTTGTGATTCCCTGTGAAAACGGGAAAACATTAGCAGTTTGCAGAAAGGGGAAAACAGGAGTGATGGTGAAGAACAGCGAAGACAGTGAAATCTCACCGATTTAGCACGTCAGTGCTGCTCATTCCCTGCTGATCCAAGGCAGTAAAGGGAATAAGAACAGAAAATAAATAATATTCCTCAGAAAGACATAAAAATGCAAGTCTTACTAAAACCCACGCTTGCCCTGCTGGTCTCTCCAGCAAGCCAAATCAGCTTGCTTCGCTCGTGCAAGTATTTTCATTAATTTGAACTGGAACTTTGCCTGACAAAGGAGCACAGGATCTTCCTTTTCTGGGCAGCAGCGCTGTAACCACCAGCTGAAATACATCAACACTCCAGATAAGCCATGAACTATTGTATCCGTTGATTTATTGCTGATTAAAGACTCCCAAGTTGCTCCTAGTCCGACAAATTAACAGAATTGAAAATGTGGCATTAACGTATTAAAGAAGCACTCTGAAAGCGTGTTAGGCTACCAAACTAAATGAATAAACAGGTTGCAGGCTGATGATCCTCTGGTCCTCCCAGCAGTTTCGGTGAGAGTCCTCCGATTCCCACCGCACGTATCAGCAGAGAGCCCAAGGCACACCTCAGCGCTGTCACAACAGCCCTTGCAAAATTCTGTTAATTTGGCTTGAAGCTGCATGGCCCTGGTCCTTAGTGAAATTATTTCCTAGTTGTACGAGGCACTCAACTCACTCTTTCATGGCACCGAGATAGGAAAAGTACTTCCATTTCTAATATTTTATAAATTCCATTAATGCGAAAGACTGTTTGGGAAAGAAAAGCGTAGGCAGCTCTACTCTTGACAAATGGCAATCTGAAACTTCAACACAAAGTCCCATCACCTTAACAAATTGAGAACAACCTACTAAGAGAGCAACTTCTAAAAATTATCACAATGTCATGTCTTAAGTGGTTGAAACCACTTGAGACCACTGTAAAAACACAGCGACTTACCAACCCCGCAACTGGAAGCATCGCCAGAGATAAAGTCCTGTCACAAAAGCAACTACTTTCTTTTATCCTTCTTTTTACTGCAATTCTGTGTTAACTATTTTGCTTCAGGTTTAGGGTCAAAAATAATATCTACGATTACTGCTAGTGCGTCTGAGTCGCTTTCCTGGTACACACTGGTGTGAGCCCATGCAGCACAGAGAGAGGGGAAGCAGCACTGACAGCCCTGGACAGGAGGTGAGGCATCTGATCCTTCAGGGGGTTTGCTCGAGGGAGGATGGCAGAAAGAGGCTCCCACAGGTGAAAACATGGTAAGTGCTACCAACGGGATGTCCTACCATGCGTGCCAACTCTTCTACCATTACAGAAACTTGCAGTTTTGTCTCTGACTTGTGCGTTCATGCCGATAACTAAAAATCCACTGCCAACAGCTCAGATTGGCAAGCTAGGGTCAAATCTTGCAGATGCCACTCATGGGCAATGCAACCTGTTCTCCAGGAACTAGGCAAGTTGTACTCAATCATCCTCATCATTGTACCGAATACCCACTGAGGGAAGAAGGATGGGGAAGGGTGGCAGGACCTCTCCAAAAGGCAAAAAGTCCCTGTCGTGCCTGGGGCTGTACACAGAAAACAAAAGAAAACCCAAGGAGAACATACAATAAAGCGTGCCACGCTCCTGTATTTCCTCTAGGTGATTTAGCATAATAATTATTACAACGTGCACGAAGAAAGAAGGCAGCACTTCAGTAACATGAAACTGCAGCGCAGCATCTGTTACTGAACTTTGCTCAGAGGTAAGGAGAGGCGACCAGATTCTGGGTGAATTATAAAACAATTGGGTGGCTAGGGAAAAGAAAGCTTGGAGGAGTTTAAAAACAAATTTCTCACACGCAAACCCCAAAGCTACCACCACTGTTATTATGCCTGCACACAAAACCAAATGATAACATCCAATTATTAGGAAGCTGATGTGAAACACTGCAATGAATTTAGGGGGTTGCTTGAAGTTGCAGCTTCTCTGCTGCTTTAAGGAAAATGTGGGCAAGACAGAGACCCTTAAGGCACCGAGTATTTTGCCTCTTTAGTGCTGAATGCTGGCAGCTCCCTTGCTGCTAGCACTGCTTGTTGCTTATGAAAAGCAGCTGTATTTTGAGGTATTAATAATACCCAATAGTAAGTATTCTATATTTTCTGAAGTAGCCTACCTCCTTCAAGAGCAACATTCATACCATCCAAGCTGAGGCTTGATGGAGAATCGGAGGACTGATGGCTTAAAATACTGCTTTATGGCTTACCACAAACAGAGTTGAGAGAACATTCCCTATCAGGCTTCCAAATTTCAAAGCAGGCTAGAGAGACAAGAGGACTCTGTAGTTCACAAGCATGTTAGGGTCTCCTTTTTTATAAAGTTCCCACAACCTTTCATTTTCTCCTTACACTCAGACTTCACGTTCAGGGCTGTTACTCCCTGCTTATCTCATCTGTATATAAGCGCACGGAACTTCTAAAACCACTGGAGCGTACTGGAGACGAGAAACCTGGAATTTATTTTCTGTCATATTAAGCAAATGAATGTGCCCAGAACAATACCACTGGGACAGCATGACTTCTCGTTCTCACATGGAGAAACACCTCAGAGATTAACTTCCTAGGAGGGATTTTTAAAAGCAGATTTCTTTTGCCACTGGAAACGCCACGTCCACTTTACGGTCAAATTTTCCTCACCTATTCAAATTCAGTTTATTCAGTGTCTTAGAGTTAACAAGAAATTTCTTCCTTTACTTCCAGCAACCCTTTGAAGGATCCAAACAAAGAAATACCGAAGATGATTTTCTTTAGATTACTCTTTCTTTCATCAGTTACTGATCCGACAGAGAAAAACTAAAGGTTTTAAACCTTCCAGTTACCACTTGCAAAGTTCCCAAAGCCTCTTTTGAGACGACCTTGTCCCAGACAACCCGGATGAATAAATTAATCAATGTAATACAGTAAAACTTTGCAAGCAACATGAGAGGGGGACGAGCAATTCTTTGCATATAGCACGCAGACGGACAGACACTCGAGCAACGAAGCGATGTCCTACCTCTCCTTGCCGGTGATAGTGCTTGGGAGGTTTTCTCATCTGCTCTAGCATTTTGCCCTTCTTACTGCTAGCAAGCGTCAGTCCCTGGTGGATGCCTGCGGATCTGTTGGTTGCCTGAGTTGGAGCCTCCCCCATCAGGGTGGACTTGATGGAGTTCACCTTGGCGCTGGAGCTGTCTAGCTGGGAGCTCTCCACGATCAGGACCGCGGCTAGTAAGAGGAGACAGCAGGAGCACTTATTCCACATCAGCATGATCATCTCCCCTCCCCCCAAAAGGATTATCTTTCTTTTTCTTTCTTTCTTTTTGTTTTTTGTTTTTTTTTTTAAGGCAAAGTAAAAGGAAAGAGAGGTGTAAAAAGGTTCGAAAAAATCTCTCTCCCAGCTGCTAATAAGGCAATGGGTTTCAAAGCCCCACACTCAGGGAAGTGCTGTTCTGAGAGAGACGGGAGAAAAGCAATAAAAAAAGAACTCCCCTGGAAGAAAAAAAAAAAAAAAATAAAAATAAAAATAGGTGTCAAGTCTATAGGCACTGAGCAACTATCGGGTCTGTGCAGTGGTGGCTTTTTCCTCCGGGTCCTTGAGAAGTCCAGGCAATTCTGTAGTGCCAGCGAGCAACAAGCTGTGAGGCAACTGCGCCCGGGCAGCTCCCGCCAGCGCAGCCCCCAGCACGTTTGCTCCAGCTTCAGAGGCAGAGCGAGCGAGCGCCTTCCCCCTCTCCTCCTCTCTCGCCGCACAAGCCAGCAGAGAGGAAACTCAAACCAGATCCAATCCGAGCAGCACCGGCAGAAGCTGGGCTTCGTTTTCTTTCACTCTCTCTCTCCCCCTCTCTTTACTTTTTATTCCCCTCCTCCTTTTTTTTTTTTTTTCTGTCTTCTGCCTCAGCCTCTGCAAACAGTGGGAGCGAAAGCGCACGGTCTCCTCCTTCTCCTCCTCCTCCTCCTCCTCCTCCAGCCCATCACCGTTGTGGGACGAGGGGCTTGGGGTGTGCAGGGGACCCCAGGGCAGGCAGCACACCCCAGGGGCTGTCCCCCACCCACGGCAGGGCCATGGGGCTGGGGACAGAGGCAGGCAGGCGCCCACGCTGCCCAGTGCTCCCCTTGTACCCATGGGGGGCTCTGGCAGCTGCTCGCTGCCCCCCAGATTTTTATAGGCACCCCCAGCTCCTACCTCAGCCTGGCGGGGAGCTGGGGCCTGCAGGGCCACGGATGCTCGGGTACCCAGCTGGCTGCTGCCCAGGCTCCCCAAATTTTGCCAGCTGGTGGCTGACCCCCAAGCCCCATCACCTGGGTGGCTGTCACCCCCGGTGCCACAGCACCAGCACCACCTGATTTGGGGCAGAGAAAGGTGGCAGACACAGGGGGCAAAGCCAGCAGGGCTGGGGTAAAGCCAGCTCCCAACTGGATTTTAAATTGTTCTACAGAGTATGGTGCTTGCTATCACCCAAGTATCAGGTGAACTCACCTTTACTGGTTATGAAGTTAGAAACAATCTTATTAGAGCCTTAATTTCTGAAAAAAAAAAAAAAAAAAAAAAAAAAAAAAGAGTAAATTTCTGAGTTTAAATTTCGCTTTTTCCTGCACTCATATCTGCAAGGAGGAAGAAGTGGCAACTAACTAAATCAAATTAGAGCATTTGTCTTCCTCACAGCCGTTTCCTTTTTCCATCTTTGCTCAGCCTTCAGTAAATTACAACTCTGTCTTCATCTCTAATAATTCCTGACAACATTTGTAAGGGAATGTGTCTAGAAGTTCAGAAAGCAATTTGCAATCGCACAAGGCAGCAATAAAAGCCAGTCCTTTCCGATTGTTTCTGACTTGGCCTTTGACACCTAGCCCTCCCTGTGCTTCAGCCCTGCCAAGCCCCAAAGGCAGCACAAGCAGCTCGCAGGGCTGCAGGAAAAGCTCCAAGAGATAATTTCATCGAGAGCTGGCCGTGATCCACACCGCCACCACAATCTGCAGAAGAGCATCCACAGAGCAGCACCCAGCCCACACGGATGCACGTGAGCTGCCTACACACACGAGCACCCACCCACCCAGCCAGGCAGGCTCATGCTGAGATGGGGAGACACGAAGCGGTGACAGCTCCCAGCTTTCTAATCAATCCCGAATTTCCTCTTACTGCTGTCACCGCCTGACGTAGCCACATTTTGTGTTCTTGCTGGGGCCAGCACAAGCTGTAGCTCTCACCTCTTCCTGGCATTCCCCATAGGTGTCACGGCGGAGCCTTAGCACTGACCTGGTCCTGCTTCGTGGCTGGTAACAAATTCACAAAAATACAGCTTCTGCAGGTTTTGTTGCGTTCTGGGCTGAAGGACCACACACTGGCATTTTGGCTGTGATGGATGCTCTCTAAAAAGAAAATAACAAAACAAAATAAAAAAATCCACCCGTGTTTCTTTTGCAGAGGAAGCAAGAGAAATGTGTAAGTCAGCAATGGAGCACTGACCACCAAAGTCGCCTCGACTAAGGGAGGATTACAAAGAGAACAAAATAAGCTGATGAGGCACACAAAGAGAATCCATGACAATAAAAAAACACAAATGATGACCTCATGCGAGTACCATTCAGCTCTTCTTGAAATAAATGGACATGTGTGGTATTAAAAAGAGCCACGCAGCACCTAAAAGGACCAGGCTGTAAGCGTACTGTGTCTAAATTAAAGATAATATCCATTAATTACTTAACATTAACATTACTTAACAAACATAAACATTAACATTACTTAACAAACATAAATAGCAAACTGCATCCCAAATCCCTTGACATAAATCAGAAAGTCCCCCAGAAAAACATACCCTACAGAAATGTGAAGAAAATGGGGTAGGAATGATCACATCTTTTCAGATATTTAAAAGCAGATGCCCAAACTCATTCCTTTAATCAGGCTGGATTCAGCTAAGGATGAAGTTAATCAGTCAGGGGGAGTCCTTCCCTTCCCTGATGGTAACTACAATTCGGGTTTGCTACCACAGTTCTTGTAGTACTCAGAAAAACAAGATAATTGCTATTTTTTTGTTGTTGTTGTGTTTTTGGTTTGTTTTTTTTTTTTTTTTACTTTTAATCAGCATTTAGCCCATGCTTCAGCCTGTTCAAATGCATCCTTCCAAACTTGGCTGTGGATTTCCTACGCTCCTCATTGCCTCAGTCATGTCCTTTAACGACAGAATTACTTGACAATATCTACTCAAATAAAATGGCATGGAGGCAAAAATCTCAAGGAGCATCCCTGTTTTCCAGATGTATGACTACTATGTGCTACGACCTAGAATTTCAGCGACATGAACAACTTCTAAAACACATAAGTATGCAACTACGCCTTCGTATCTCTCCTCAGATAAATTAACGTGCCTTGTATAAGAAAAGGAGGCTTGCCTTTTGTCTTATTTGTTTCCATAAACAGAGGAGACACAACGAGGCTTGTGCTTATAGCCAAAATAGACGCTCATACCCTGCAAAAATGTTGGAGGTTTCAGTGCTCCAAACACATTTCTGATTTACAAATGCTTTGGTGTTTAATTACACTTAAAAATTTAACGGAGAGAGTTGAGTGGCCTTAAACAAACGAAGATTTTCGTATAGTTTTTCCAGTTTCACCACTTTCTCTTGCCAAAATCAAAAACGGCCAAAAAAAAGTATTTCCATGTGTTCATATTTTCATTGAGAATCATCAAAATTTTAATTGATTTTCTGCTATACATTTTTCTGTATGAAGTTGTGTGCCCCCCCTTTTATATTTTTGTCCAGGACTAGATCCATTGATCCAACTAGATCCATTGCAGCCTTTTTTTCTTTTCTTTTTTTTTTTCCCCATGTTTTTTATGAGGCAGAAGAGGGGATTTCATGTGGGTGGGAAAGACATGGAAAAGATGAGTAACCTTTTTTTATTTTTCTCTTCATTTTTTTTTTCCATTTTCCTCTGAAACTTTTATTTAAAATGAATTGTTTGGGGGAAAAATCTAGCAGAAATGAAGATAAAGGCAATAAATAAATGAACATAAGAAATTAATATATTCAATTCAAGGACAAAACCAAAATACAATAAAATGAGGAGATCCTTTACCAGACCTCCTCCAAAGGGCCCGAATTGTACGCTGCAATTGCAGAATATTGCAGGCCAGATTATAATCCTGCCTACTTTATAGCAACTATATTTTAAGCCACTTGACTTCAATTGAACTGGTTTTGATTTATACCAGCCTTGGTTCAGCCTAACGTCCTATGTTTTTCCTTCCCTTAAATAAACAAAATTACCTGTTCTTCAAATTAAATCTGGTTTTAATTCTGTATAAAGCATTTTGGGATCCTTGTTGTATGAAAGACTTTCCCTGACATAGAGTTGTATTGTTTTTTGTTATTATTTTTTAGGTTCACCAGCTGCACTGAATTTCCATTGCCCCTTACAGCAACTCTCACAGCTTGGATATGGCCAAATCTCCTTTCGCACTGCCCCTGGGGCCTACTCTGTGCTTTATTTAATTTCTTACTAAAAAAAAAATAATAAAAAAAATGCTATCAGGGCTATCGAGCAATAGCGAGTTTTTCTAAGACTGTAACTCAACAGTACATCATTTTATTTTAAAAAATATATTTTAGGAGTTCCTTCCCGCCCTCTGTCCTCATCTCTCTGTGGGGGTGCATTTTGGGTTTGCCTCTTTCTTTTTCCACTGCCTTTGTGAAGAGGGTGCAGGAACTGGGCATCGGGTGGGGACAAAGGGCGAGGGGAGCCCCTGCTGTGGCATTTCCCCCGAACGCCTCGTGTGCTGGGACTGCAGCCCCAGAAAAGTGCCCAGAGGACTTGCTGGGGGTGTGCAATACCCAAAAAAAGCACGGCAAATGGGTGTCAGCTCCAGAAGTGCATGTTAATGCAGTCTATGGGCACCACGAAACCCTTCTTCACAGGTGATAATTCCGTATTAGCAGCAGGGGAACCACCCTTTAGAGCTCAAGCCGTGTTTCCACCAGCATTTTAAGGCCAGGGTGAAATCTGCTGCCCTGAGAGCTGGCCTGCTCGGCGCATCCCCGAGCACCGCACCGCAGCACATGCTACCAGCAGGGTTTTTGGGCCACGTAGCGAGGTGCTGGCGGCAGCAGCACAGCCGCAGCATCACTCCTCGCTGAGCTGCCACCACAAACAAGCCCCAGCAGGGGCTCGCCACCAATTTCCGAGCAGCCCAGCCACATCGAGAGGCCCCTGCTCACCTCTCCCCCTAAAGGTTCCCGGCTCCCCAAAACCGCCGGCGAGCGCGGCCGCTTGTGCAAGAGCCGCAGCAGGAGGCACGGCCGCAGCCCAGAGAGAGGCAGGCTCGCAGCGTGCAGCTCCGGCCACAGGAACAGGGACAAATATCCCAGCCTTGGAGTCTTGCTTTTTTGGGTCCGATCCCTAACGCCATGCTCGTCATGCGCAGGAAGGCGAAGGATGCCATAAAACTGTTTTGAAGTCCGTATTTATGATTTTTGCTCCTGCTGATTCTTTTTTTCCAAAAAGATGAGTACTGAATGTTATTGTTATTCCTCATAAATAACTCCTTTTCTTGATTAAAACAGTCCAGGACAGTGTCACAGTTAATTAATGACACGGGGTGCGACTGGCTCGGTCACTCCCGGTTCAGGATTTCAATCAGCCCCGCCGATGACCATTAACCCTTCGGAGGGGGAATCACTGATTTCTCGAGGGGATGACAAAAACAGAGGGAAACAAATCCCAGAGCACCAAAAATAATAACTATTGACCAGCACTGCCAAACACAACAACCGGTCGATTACAATTATTTTAAGCTATTTGATTATTTTCTCCAAAAACTCTTTGATACATCACTGCACCAAATACAGCTGAAGCAGCAGGTGTTTTGGC